GTGGCTGGGGTGGAGGAGGGGAGAAAGAGTGGGAGAGTTCAACAGAGAAGAGTAAGAGAGAGAGCAAGGAGAGATGAGCAGGGCTGGATGCTGTTTATGGTTAAGCTTTATCAGAGCCCTCCATCTGAGGTTCCATGTGACCAATGTGTGCTCAGTGTGCTCAGCGGCTCGGCTGTGTATCTCTGAATAAGAGTGCTGTAAGCATCTGAGTCACTCTCTGTACACCAGCATTGTTGCAACAGACAGGCCCTGGACCTTGTCATCGTAACTTACACCACACACCAAAAGCCTGGCTTTGTTTCCCCCGTCTTCCCAGAGAAAGAACAAGAGAATCAAAAGTCACCTTGTGCTATATTTATATGGCAGGAGCCAGAAATGCATAAGGAGAGTGGAGAATATGTTTTAATGCTTCAGATTCACACCAGGGGAGGAACAGCGCTCTCAGCCACAGCCCCAAGAAAACATCGGAAATGCATTTGCATGCCAGAGATGTCAGACACCTCTATTGCTTTTTGACATTTGAGGAAAAAAACACCTGCATTTTCAGATAGTGATAATGGGGATAGACAACTAAACTAACATGAATGAATTCTGTGAATGTGGCAAGCAATAAGAAATTAACCTCCTGTGGAGAAAAGCTGCTCGGACCTGTCTGATGCAATGAACTACCCATTTCATCCCACTCTGAAAGTTTAGTACAAAAGGAAAGTAATGGGTGAAAACAGAAAGCACATACAGTACAGCAGTCCATTAAAGGTTTAGAATCCAAGATAGGTTTTACAGTGCACTTGTTAATGTTCCTGAGCATAATGTAATAAAATAATATTAAACTGGACACAGACATGAACCAAATTAAATAGTTCAGCAGAAGGTGACAGTGATTCAGGTGCAGTGTTGACATGACATAGACACAGTAGTACCTCATAAAGTCCACTAGGGGCAGAATGGACAGCATTGACTGTGAATGGGGAAGGGTAGGGTAGGTACTTTATTGATCCCACAGTGGGGAAATTTCTGTGTTACAGCAGCAATAGAGAACAACTATCATAACACCATAAGAACAGACACCACCATAATGGGGGGGTATACTGTATAAATCAGTGCAGGGGTTCCCAACCTTTTAGCACTTTTTTCGTATTGACTTTCCAGCTCTCAGACTTGCTTTTATTCATGCTGATTTGGTAATTGCAACAGTAAGAAGAACACACACAGATCATCAAGATAAATCGGAATCTCTCAGCCTGATAATGCCAGACCAGAATGCTGATACCAGGTGATTCTGAAAAACCTGTACCTGGTCAGTGCCAGCATTTTTCTCACTTTCTGCAGTGTCTATGCAGGGCAACTACAGTATTGTTAAGGTTAGGGAACCATTGTGTTTACAGCAAATAAAGTAAAGTTAAAGCACTGGTACAGAATTAGCATATAACAGGCTTTAATAACTGCCTTTAAAGTCATATATTATTATTATTATTATTATTATTGTGCCTTTATCCTGGTGGTATCCCACTAGGCTGGGAATCAGTGTGAATGAATTAAGAAAGCTGAGTGAGTGACTATGTTTTGCTACATCCAAGTCACCATCCATAAATAAATAAATAAATGTAAAAAAATAAAGTGAAAGATCATTTTGAGCATCAAACCAAAATAATCATCATGTGGAGAGCTGAAATTTGTACTTTTGTAATGGTATCAAGTGTGCTAGAGCTCCTCTGCACATGTACTACGTGCTGCAGAAGATGAGGCGAAAGCGATATGAAGTGTTTTGATGTCTATTTTATTTCATTGCTGTAAAAGTAATATATTTGGCAGTCAAAACACAAACATGGAGCAGCCTCAAAGCAAGGTTATTCTGCTCCCAATCTGTTGGGAGAGAAAGGGAATGCAATAGATAAATTCTCCATAAGGTTTAGCAGCCCCAAGCAAGGTTGGTCCCCCTCCAATATCCTAGCCCAGGCTCATCTCCAATTCAAAACACACATAAATAACGTCGCTGTGATTAGCAATCCCATCAAAGCGAAAACAGACCACTTTGTGGAACATGGAGGGTTTTCGCAATTGGAGTAAACATTTTCAATTGCCTCAGCATCCTGGTCATGATTGGGTGCAAATGAGGAGAGGCAGTCATTAATTCTGGTTGGTGGGTAGGGGGGTGGAGGGGAGTGGGCAGAGGCATGGCACAGATGACTGGCTGATAAATTCACACTCATTCCAGCAGCTGTCTGGAAGAGTAAAGTGCCTGTATCTCTACACATGGCTGCCCTCCTGTTCCTGCATCACAACATACTGAATGAAACAGTCCGAGGGAAATACAGACCTTCAAAAGTCTGTGCGCTCTCTGAGGGGATCTACAATCTGGCATCGAGTGTCTGGCATGGAGACTCTGCTCATCAGCCATATTCAAAATGCAAAACAGCACCAACCCGAACCAATTTTAACAAAAAGTCGACAAAATCGGGAAATATTAGTGGCTCCTCAATCAAAAGTTGGGACAGAGCACCTTTGAATTAAGTTGGCTCTGGCTTTGAACTTATCTCTCTTGTTTTCACATCAAAAGACATGAAAGAAGCAGCAAAAAGCAGGACAGCTAGGCCACAGTTCCTCTCCCTCGAGTCTGCGGCAGTTGTTCCTTTCAAGGAACAACCAGGACTACAGACAGTCATTAACAATAAGTTTCACCCTGTCCTTCTCTGATGCTGCCTTTTCATTGTTGTGTGTCTTTATCCCACTCAGTCATTAAACCCTGATCCTCCTGATGAAATGCTGCCCGTAGGGTGTTCACACGTAAGAAGCCTTCTGTCTCAGGATATAATTAGCAAGGTGCCATTTCTCCAAGACCCTTTGCATGAGAAGGTTTCAAAAAATTTCATACCCACTAATTTGAACATCTTTTTTTTAACCAAAGATAAACTCTCTTAGAAGCTGTGTGCCACTGTTTGTGTGATAATGCTAAAAGCATAACTAGAAAACAAGTTGAGGAAAACTTTCTCTTCTTTTTTCAACTGAAACATTGCAAGGTATTGTTTTTCTGACATTAATGAAACGGTTGATATGGTGTAATGACTGGATGCCACTTTCTAATGGGGTAATCTTCGTAAAGAATTGATAAATCATAACTAATGTGTGTTGTTAACTGAAGCTTTAAATTTCAGTTTGAAGCCACTATTAAGACTGAAAAAAATCCCTTTGAATTTCCCTTTCAGAAATGAGCTGGGGAAGACCTGGCCCAAAAGCCATTTATTAACAACTTATTAAGCATGTGCAGTTTTAACATATTACCACCAACTGAAGTAATTAACAAAGTTATTGGTATTTGTTATACATAAAGAATAAATGGGCCAGTGGGATTTTTCACAACCTGGCAGCCCATAATAGATGCATAGCTAACTTATAACTGATTTGTAAAGCATTAGTAAATTATTTATTTAACAACTATAAAGCATTTGTTACAACTCATAAACCTACATGTTCGTAAAAGTACCTCCAAAGGACTCACAACACCATTAACCCTTTAAAATATTAAATGGTTTTGTTTATTACATTAGGAACGCCAAGCCCAAATTTGGGGCACCAAGCCCTGAAGAAGAAAGAAGATTTAGTTTTGCAATCTTGTTATTTATTAGAAAGTGATACCAGTAAATGTGTTTCCTTACATTTTTACTTATTTTGCCTGCAATCTAATAATACCAAACCACATCATTACTTAATTCATAGTAACCTCACACCATGGTTAAAAAGAAAATACCACAAAGAGCTGAGAGGTTAGCACACCTTGTTTCTGTGAGGTGCTAGCTTGCACTCTGAGCTGAAAGGAGGAGACACAGCACACTCACAACTCACTTTCCTGAAGAAGACAATGAGTGCTGAAAGAGCTAAATGTTGTTTGAATAAAATGTATAACCCGAGCCAATACGATACAAATATTTTGTCTACCCTCTTGCTTGGGCAAGGACAGGACTCAGAGATGCATTAAGGTCAGAGTTTCTCATATGTGCATGGTTTGATAGGTTAAGGTTAAAGAATAGTGTACAAAATCATTATATGTGCATTTGAGGTTAGGTTAAAAATGGTGTTGCTTATTATGGGGCCCTAAAGATTTATGATGACATGGCCTGATGTCTCCTTACTAGGGCCAAATAATAGTTAAATATCATTTAATGTGAATATTGATCTTCCATAGGAAGGCTCATTCATTCTTTGGCACATGTAACTGTGCATCATCAACTTTACACAAGCATTTTACTGTGAACAGTTATTTACAAATTATTTTTATTTTACAACATTTTTTATTTGTGAATATTTCTTAATGAATAATTTTAAGCCATGCTGGTGGCTCTAGGAGTCGTCCATCAGTTGGTCAGTCCACAATGTTTAGTGCCAAATGTTAACATGGTGAACACAGGAAACATTATAGGCCCTATCTTGCAACAAACACATGGTGTGCAGTGTGGGTAGTGCGTGTTTCCTAATGTCCTACCTGTGCAATTATCGTTTTCATGACATGTGCATCATGTTGCCTTTTTACCAAGCAGCAGACTGTTTGAGGCTAGTGTGTCTGCTGCATGTGATGTGTTGCTGGTTAACAAGCGGATTAACAATCCATGATGTTATTGTCAGTGCTACGCTACCTGTTGGAATTAATTACACTGCTTTGGGACTGTGTGTGTTTTTGTGGGGGAAGATGCAGTGACCACCGGTTGGATTTACCAACCTTGGAGCTACTTGAAAGGGAGTGATGTTTCCACTACTTGGTGGGACTTAATGGTAAGTTTAAAAAAACCCATATTGCATGTCTGTCAATGCCTTGTTTCTGTAACATTAGAGAGATTTGTTTTAAGGCTGGAGTAGTTACTATGTCTGCATTATACCAGTTAAAATATGGGGTTTCTCAATTACCTGCTTTGTTTAGAGTGTTACACATCTCTTTTCATCAGTACATATACCATTGTTTACCTATCTATGGAGGAGAAATTCATATTAATTAATGCTGCTGTGGTTCATAGTGCTGTTCACTTTCAACACAACACATGCAGTAGGAGCAGTGCACGTTCATGACCTATCCTCTCATTTTTAGGAGGAGGCCCTCGGGTTTTATCATTGTTAAATAACTACAGACTATTTGGTGTTAAGATGGGTGCAAAGCTAATCTAGAGGTATCCAAGATTAATTATTAAAACATGAAATGGCTGGAAATGAGCAAAATGAGCATGGCATGGGCTCTTTAAAGGGGATGTGAGGTTACACACTGATTGGATAATTGCCCAAAACACACCTCTGCCTTAATGAGGAGATCAAGTACAGCCATTTTGCTACTTGCATGGGTGCTCATTGTCAAATTACCAAAATGAATGTGAACACACCCATACACCACTTGCGCTAATACATTTTGATCAGATGCTGTGGATCCTAAAAATAGGCCCCTATATCTGCTGACATAACACAATGTACATAACACATAATGTGACATAACACCAGCATATTAGCATCGTTATTGTGTGCATGTTAGCTGGCTGCCATTAGCCTTTAGCTCTTAGTCCTGTTTTACCTAAGTAGAGCGCTACAGGGCTTCTTGCATGGCAGTAGTCTCTTTGGTTGTTTTCACTATTTCAGATAGTGATAACCAGCTGTGTTCATTTTTGCTGTTGGTATAGTCAAAATTGTTTGCACTGTTTGTTGCCTGTTAATACTGCTTATTTTGTTATATTACACAGCCTTATGTTGGTTTACTGTTTACTTGCCCCTTGCATGGGGATATGTACATACACATTGAGAGCCGATGTACCAGAGTCAGATTCTTCGTGTGTCCGACACACCTGGCCAGTAAAGCAGATTTTGAGATTCTGATTCTGAATTGGTATATCATCATAATGTCATAATATAAAACTGAGATATAAAAGGTTCAGCGGATAACGTATAAGAGAGACCTTTTGGATTATATTCTCTGGGTTGTGTTAAATGGGTTAAATTACTGCTCTCTACTTGAAGAACCACTAAGTTACATTTCAAACTACAGGCTGCATCTGACTCTCAGTGGTTTGGTGAATGACCTTTGAGTATTGCTCTAAATGCATGGTGAAATTTGTGAAAACCCACCAGCCAACTAACATGGCATCCAAGCAGGCAGTACAGAAATGGACACCTGGCATTACATGTGCAAACTGTTGATTTGAGAATTAAGAGTAAAAAAGCTTGGCTCAACACTGTGCGTGTGTGACTATCTTCTCCTTCCTGAAAATAAAACACCAACATAACCAACCATTCATGTAAATATGCACAGATGAACAGACTGTGGTGGACAGCCAAACAACAGACGCAGTCAGAAGCAAGCACTTAGAGATGAACAGCAGGTAGCAAAAAGAAAGAGTACCTGTCACGGTTTCAGCAGCTCCTGTTGCAGCGCAGGCGAGGACGAGAGCAAAAGAGAAGAAAACAGACAGGTTGTGAGACAGGATGCAAGCAAAAAGCCACACTCCACTGGTAACAAAAATGTATTCGTAATTTCTAAATAAGGCTGTCGAAATTCATTAAATTCAAGCTCCATATGCTATTTGTGTAATTTTCCACCAATTAGAAGAAATACAAAAGGCATCATAACGAGCAATTTTTACAATCCACTCACTCTATTTTTCAACAGGTGTGTACGATCCAGACATAATGAGCCATTTTTCTCTCATCATCCATTTCCCCTGAGTGCTGCATTAATATGGAGGAACAGAGGGAATATGTGGACCTTGTTTTTTCTCCCTCTCCTATCCCTGATTGAGATTCCAGCCAGCCCCGCTCTGGAGCAGCCACTGCCTGGAGACGTTCCCCTCGGACCCGCGGTGTATCCTGGAGAAGAGAGCACCCGTTCGGAACGGTGCCCACCCAAACTGGCATCTCACAGGGCATGGGAGACTGGCGTGTTCCCAAGTCCCTGCAGCAGCGCTCAGGGCCTGTACCCTCGGGAGAGCTTCCATCATTCATTGTCTGCTTTCAGAGCCCCCTCCCCCACCTCCACCATCCCCGCACTCTGCCGCTGCACACCCATACCTACATTTTTATATTTCACACACCATCTTTTATTATATTGACATTTCACAAAGACTTTGGGGCTTTTCAACTCTGGCTGTGAGTAATGTGAGCATCTGCTCCAAGCGTACAGTATGCTGAAGCAACTGCCTGTCATTGCCGGCATAATAAGGGTGTAAGGTATGACACATGTCCTTGTTATATCCTTTTGTGCATTTTCAATGTGTCAGCAATTTCCTCAGGACAAAAAAAAGTGTGAGTGACAAATCACACACGATGGAAAACAAATTTTGAACATTGTCCAGGAAGTGCTGCTGCTGAACATTATTCACTGGCTTAAGCCTCTGCTTCTTTAAAACGTCAAGTGTCAGTCAAAAAATTGTCTTTATTATGTGATACTTCAATATAATGAGACTTCTGGGGCAATTCTGCTTCAGCTGAAAGTGATTTGGACAAAAAGAGACCATGAGTGGTAGAGGTTGATAGCCAGACTCAAACTCCAGCTTGAATGAGCACACCGCGCGTGTCCCAGTCCAACCAGCCCTGAGGACAGCCCATAATGAGGCTTTTGAGCTGCTTTAATTGCCAGGTAATTATAATGTTGTAGCAACATTATGTAAATGACTCATTATCATCTTGTGTGTGTAGTATATCTGCCCTCGTTTTATGTTACTCTGTCTGGACTGTAACCCAGAAAAATGTATCATGCTGATAGCGGGGCATCTCAGTGTTTAATCTTGTCGACAGAGACCTATATCTAAACAGAGAGACTTGTGATATAGTGTGGTGACACCTTCCCTAACCCTTCAGTATGATCCACTTCCTGCTGGTGGCCCCTGAAGGGGCTATAAATAGCATTGTGGTGGCGGCAGTGTGCCTGCCATGCTCCCCTTTTCTCCTCTGCATCTTCAACACATTAGGTAAAAGTTATGAGGTGCCAGCTCGCCTGTGATTAGATGTCATGGCTGTCGCTCTGCTTAGACTGTGCTGATAGACAGATTTCTGGGGGAATGCGTGCGATGGCATTCGTGCGAGTGCAGCCGCTGCACCAATCTGTCAATCATGCAGGATGAGAGTAGGCAGGCCAGCCGTCCTCCAAATAATGTCTGTCCTTGTCTCCTCACCTCTTCTCCTTTTCATCTAAATCTCATCCTCCTGTTCCGCACTTCGAGCAGCATTATGTTTGGAAACAGAAAAGTGGAACATTTCCTGCTCTCCACCAACAGTGATGCGACATTTCCTGTTGGAAACACACTCACTCGCTCCTTTTCTATAGGAAGCGAGGCTCAAGCACTCTGGTATTCAGGCATCTGTGTTGAACCCATTGCCACCCCAGTGAATTCATAATACTCTGCACTATTTTTTAGTCAGCAAGGCAACCTAAGATCTCTGGAGACTGGATGTCTGCGAAGTAAGAGTGGCACACAGCCTCCCTCTCTGTCACTGCTGCTCAGTAAAGGCAGTGGGGTAACACTAATGAGGCAACATTTCTTCTCAATACTAGTGTGATGCCTTTGAATTAATGTTCTTCCTTTCAGGTAAAAAACCTCCCTTGCTTATTTATGCTCATGATTTGCAGTGCGTTACATGTCACCCAAGCGTATGATCGCACTGCATAAGAGGACCACAAGAGTTGGAGGTAGGAGCTCTGTGAAGGTCTCCATAGAGATCCACTTTGTGAGTGTGTGTGTGTGTGTGTGTGGACCTATGCTGTCTTACTGTGTGTAGCCCATTTAATTAGAGGGATCAGAGGTGGCTTCAGAGGTGGGCATCAAACTTTTTCTCTTCATGGAAATCAGATGGAGAAACGAGCTCCTGCAGGGTGAACCCGGTACACACAGATGAATTCTGAGGTCAGGACTTTAACAAAAGAAACACTTTCACACAGAAACTTTCAACTCATCCATCCTCATTACAAACACACACTGGAGCTGCAACCATTCATTGATTAGCTGACCAATGGAACATTTGTCAGCAACAATTCTGACAATCAATTAATCATTAATTTTTAAACAAAAATATCAAACACTCATAGACTTCACCCTCTTGTCCATAATATTTTTTGGAACTTGTAGTACGATGTCACAGTAAAGGGAATACAATTGGAGTCTGGGTTCTTTGTTCAACACAACAGTTTCAATGTCCTAAACCCAGTTTAAACTTGGGCTTAGGACATTTGTGTCAGCCACTCTTTTCCACACTGTTTTCTGACATTTTAGAACATTGGGGTATTATCATATGAAAACAATAATTAGTTGCAGGCCGACTGCTTAAGCCAGTAAGGTTGAACGCTCCAGAAAAAGCTCCGAGGTGGAGCCTATGATAGGATTACTAAATTTTAAGCCAACGAGACTGAGAAGTACTAAATGTGCTTTGGATAAAATCATAAGATCACTTGTATCAGACTCCACCCACTGATGAAGACTGCATGATACAACTGAAAGTACATGTCCTTACATAAGGATATGTACAAACACATTGAGAGCCGCTGTACCAGAGTCAAATTTGTCGTTCGTTCCAACACACCTGGCCAATAAAGCTGATTCTGATTCTAAAAGCTTTGGAAAAAGTTCAAATGTTTATGGAGGCTTTAACTTTAATAGCTCATGCATTTGTACAACCTCAGAAGGTTGTAAAGATAGTTGTTTTGTGCTTTATTAAATCACAGCACTAATTTGGTGCATTTTATTTACACACTTGACCTACTTCTTTTATTATCAGCTGTCAGGTACAGTTTAATCCAGAGCAACCTGTCTGTCAGATATCAGAAAGTGCTCACCTGTAAACACTACTGGGAATATTCAGATTAATCCTCCCCAGAGTCAACCGCAACATGTTAATCTTGTAGGTTTACACGAGATGCAAAGCATGTTCCTGCTTGATAAACTTAATAAAAAGAAGATTTGGTAAATATCCCCATGGAGGTTAATTGCTCACTGTAGACTCTGCTTTGTACACATCCACTCTATGACCTGAATGCTTATGTTGAACTCCTGAACAGTCAGGAGGACAGAAGTAGCTGAATACAGCTTTTATGTTTGGAGATTAAGGGATAAGCCTGCAGAAATGCTGGCAGATAAAAAGGTGACATATTGAATTCGGTGCTTTGAGTGTCTACAATTGCACATCAATAGCAATAGATGAATATTCTTATGAATAAAATGCAAAAATTAAAACATTTCTGCATCAGTAATATATTGTCTCTGTAGCTGACAACAAAAAGAAAGAAAAAGCTAACAGCAACAGTCGCTTTAATGTCAGCTCTGCACAGCTCAGGTAGTGTTCGTCTCTCAGTGTGTCAGGAAAAAAAGAGCGCTAACACGTTTCTGATGACTGTAGATGCCAGGATCCTGTTCCACACAGCTTCACATGACAGAGCTCCTCCTTATACACACATAAAATGACATCAAAATGCAGAAATAAAAGTGAAGTAAAAAATAAAAGTCATGGGTTGGCTAATATCATGGTGACACATATATTAAAATGTAAAGCTGACATAATGAAACGGGACAATTCTGCTGGGCAGGATGCCTCAAATCAACATAATGTGAGGCAGACAGAAGCTTATTTTAAGACATGATTAAGTCATGCTGATTGTGACAAATGCAGTAACTTCAGAGGTTTATAAATCACCAGCCAACTGCATTCGCTGGGAGGTACAATGATTTCCTTTTTCCTACTAGGCACAATCATCCACTCTGTTATGTTAACAAGACCGGTTGACTAAGCATGGATTTAAGAGTAGCAGCAGCAGTGCGCTTTATACCCGAAACCATGCCGCACCTTCCTGCTTAAAGTTGAAGCAAAGCTTAACCTCTGGCAAAATGACACACCGCATCTCATTCAGACTGTCTATTTTAGGTGACGCTGCATCTTTTTGTTTTTCTCCTCAAAGGCAGCGAGGACTCTTTTCAGTCCCAGTGTCAGCTTTTGAAAGAAAGTGCTGTGTTTGTTACCACAGGAGACGAGCCGAAGCTCTGGTTCTACCCGGATTAAAATGCATGCAGAATGTTTTGAACTAAAGTCTCCTGAGAGTCTTAAAGAAGGAATTTCTCTTGCTATTGAGGAGACACTGTAATGTCTCATCTATAGCCTGGTCTCTTGTCAAGAAAACTCACACGAGCAATGTTCACAGAAATAATGGCGGTTATTTGAGGATGCACTTTCTTGCCTATCTGCCAGCATATCTGCTTACTCACTGTGACTGTGTGTACTGTACATCTACACAAGTGTTTCTGTGTGTGTGTGTGTGTTGGTGTGTGTTGGTGTGTGTGTGTGAGGGGTAATTAGGACATTAGGAGAAGCTCCTGACAGGCTTGTCATCGCCACAGCCTGCCCAGTGGAAAGGAGGTGGTCAGAGGGGTAAGTGGGGGTCCA